GCCCGGCACTGGGAAGTACCATAATGCAGTCCGGGTATCTCAACCTGTGGCTGGCCAATTTCACCTCAGCCTTCCTTCTCTCTGCAAAGAGTGCCCAAGTAAAATATAGAAGGTAGGGTTTGCAGTCAGACAAGGTGTCTGACTTGTTATTTGAATTTTTTTGGCTGTTCTGGGGTTTGAACTCAGAGCCTCATGCTTGCTAGGCAGGTGCTCTATCTCTTAAGCCACATTCTCTGCCCTTGGGCAAGTTATTTAACTTGGATCTGCCTCAGCTTTCTCCTCCAAAGGAACAGCCGTGTCTTAGAAGGGCTGCCATAGGAAAAGACAAGGTATGCTAAGCACACAAATCCTTAAGCTCAGTAGGAAGTATGGAGCCAAAAGGAGTCTATAAGAAACAGCGAGTTCTATCAACACAGCAGTGGGGTAGCCAGTCTAAAACCTGAAGGGCCCCTCTTTGAGCAAAGAACAGCTCTGTATCTGACCTCAGAACAAGGCCTGCCTAGCAACCAAGCCAGGTGGTTGTTATCTAAATGGCAAATACACAAGAGGCCACCACAACTGAGGCTGAGCCATCATCTCCTTCACTTCAAATTCTGAATTGACCTTTCATCCCAGGACACACAGAATAATGCTGACTCGACATTGTTAAGGACTGAGTACAAGTCAGAGAGCCACACATGAGAGGCAGCTCACTCTCTATACTGCTGTGCCCAGATTTTATTAGGCCTTAATAAACACTGAGATGAGGGCCCTGCTGACACCTTAGATAGTCAAGTTCAGAGTCAAAGAGAGAAGTTTAAGGTATCGTAGCTGAACCCATGTGAGGAGGCAATGTGGCATTTGCAGAAAAGTAACTTGGGAATCTGAGTTGTTGGCCTCCCTCTCACTTCTGCCACTAGCTTACTTTATGATTTGTTTCAATCATGTCTCTTAATCTCAGTTTCTTTGATCACAAATGGGAGGACTAGGTAAGAGGATCTGTGAGCTCTTTCCGGCTTTAATTCTCTATAACTCCAATCTTAATGACAAATCAATCTTTCTGAGCCCTTCCTCTCTGTGTTAGCTGTCCTGTCTCTCATTGTGCAGCCTTCTGCCAATGTTACCATCTTTACTGCCCCAAAGAGCTGGTAACCCCTCACTAAGAGAGCACGGCCACTCTTAGAGCCATATCCCTGAGAACATATTTACTACCTGTTAGCCAATAACTCAATAGTCTAGGAACCTTGGGGCACCAAGAACTTGGATACTTCAATTCAACCCCCACTCTAGTCCTACTCCCTTCTATACCAATCTCTTCTCAGCCCTGAGGAGCTCCAATGTTCCTTCAAACTTGGGATTTCCCTATGCTTCCTGGCATGAGATGAGGGCAGCAACAAGCTATTCTTATCTGTGCTCTGGCATCTCATAGGATGGAGCAGAAGAGGTGGCATAGCTACCCAGGCCAGGAGGAAGTGCTTACAGAAGCAAGCTCTTGCTACATGAGGCGGTGACAAGGACAAACCAGGGCTGATCACAAGGACAAGCTAAGAGTGGACACTGAGGACCACTGAAGTCCACAAGGCTCCTTAAAGATGCTACCAAGCACTCCACACATCCCTTATTTCCTTACTAAGGAATGAGGGCAGGAGAAGCTTTGTGACTTGTCCAATACCACATAACTAAACTATAAACAGTCAACACTAGCGCATGGGTCTTTGGGTTTCTCCCCACTCTCTTTTCCACTCATCTCTGTTGACCTCAGCAGTCTAACGAGGCTAACAGATCCACTCTAAGAAACATGACTGCAGCATCTCTTATGTTCTAATAACTGCCTCCCCCGGCTCCATGGATCCCTTCCTAACTCAACATGGTTTACTTTGTTCTTTCACTAGCCCTTGACACAAAATCTTGGAGTTCAGAGGTTGGTGGGAAAGGAGAAGTCAGCTTCCTTGTCCCTATAGAATCCTAAATAGATAAGACAACCATACTGTCCCTCTTCCTGGTCTGGAGAAGTTTGGTTGGGGGAGAGGGTGGCAAAAAATGATCAAATTAACCCACTGAAGTCTGTTTGACCCACTGTTTGGGTCAAAAGTTATTTGTGGGCAATTCAAAATGTCATCTGAAGGTTTATTACATTGAACAATAGGGTCTGCCTCTGAGACCTTTCGAAGTCCAATGATAGCCTCAGAAGGAGCAAGCTCTGAGTAGATTCAAAGAATTAATTATTTAGCGCATGACCCAGTTCCCGAGGTGAAGCTGGGTGAAAAGAGAGCTTGCTGGTTTCTTATCACTGTAAGAAACTCAAACACTTCATGGGGTAGTAACCTCCTTCCTGTCAAAGAAGATCCATTTATGGTTAAGTGGCCAAAAAATAAAAATAAATAAAAAAAATAAAAGCAGCAGCAGAAGCCAAAGATCACTCATTCGGCAAGTATTTATTAAACTCCTCATTTGTCCCAGGCCCTCTAAGGACTTACACATGGTCAGAGTTTAGTAGAGGAGAAAGGTGATGGAATTTATAAATAGGAGCCTGAATCGTGTCCCAGATCAGCCTTAGACAAGACAGCTACATTAGCTTGGGCAACAGGCAGGTTTCATCCTGCCTAGGGCAAATTTCTCTTCTGGAAAAGGGAGTGAATCCATCCAAGTATGAAGATGAAACGACCTTCATAAAATGTAAAGTGCAAAGTGAACATGAGGTATAAACAATAATGATATAACCTGACACACTTTCCCTACCCTAGAGAAGTATATAATCTGAGAATGTTTTGGAAAACAAGCCAAGGTACCTATTTGGCAGACGTCACATTCTCTGTAATTTGGGCAAATTGTATGTTTCAACTTGCCAACGGAGATGGAGCTGGTGGTCAATTCCTGACTCAAGTCTGTGTGCCCAAGAAGTTACAAGAAGGGGTGACATTCACATCTGAGCCCATCTGGCCCTTTGTCATGCTTCAGTTGAATGAATGAGCCAGGAAAGACCCAAGATCCAATAGGGGAAAGAGAACATGTGGTCATCAGAAACAAAACAAAATTCATCTGTGCACAATAGGAGTGAGCCAGCCAGAACTACACAAACACCCCTCCCCACGCACATTTCAGACAACGCTGGAATTCCGTGGTCACTACCAACCCTCCTCTGTGCACATACTCTGTGCTATGTTTCTGCAGGAAAAGGGGTGATTCTCAGGACGCTGACCACTTTGCTTGAGTCTTTGCCAGTGCTAAGAATCAGAACTGAGCAGCTTTTCCCCAGGTCTAGTCAACCCCTTCTCATCCCATCCTCACTTGGGTTCTGTCACTCAACAGGCCACTAATGCCCAGACATGCCTGGCCCCAGCCTCTTGGACTGGAAACTGTTGCTGCCCCCCAACTCTCACCTTCCTTCATCCTGTAACCAAACTGAGCTCCTACAAGGTCTACCCAAGCTCACAGTCTAGGGCACTCTTGGGGAAAGGGGCCAGGTACCTTCGCCTCTGTCCCTCCAACTTGGAGCATTCTGTAAATTCTTTACCCTCCAACAAATGTAGGCTTAGGTTCTTAAAATGTTCTCAGATTTCTAAATACAGAAGGGAGGCAGAGGAGGAGGGAGAAGGAGTAGAAGTCCAGAGCCTGTGTTCCAATTCTGTATGTGATACCAGTTAGTTCTACAATCTTGAGAAAGTCTCTTCAGACCAGGCCTCAGTTTCCCTATTTGGTAATGAGGGGTCTCTAAATAACCTCTCTAATTATAAAGTTTGGCATTACAGAAACCAGACCAGCCTGGGATACAGAGGATGAGAGACCTGATTCTTATTCATCTATAGCTTATAGCAATTTATCTGACTGCTCAGAGCCCAGTCTTCATGTCTATAAAACGAGGGGAAATAATACAACTGTCTATCCAAGAGTGTGAGGCTCCCATGAGACACTGGCTCTGAAGAGCTTTGTGGGCAGTAAAGCCCTGATTGAACTTGGAGTCCAGCCTCCTTGAATTAAAAAAAAAATAGCCACTGACCACTGGCAACATGCCAGGGACAACTGCCCACCAGAAGGGGCTGTCCGGCTCAGACAGGAAGGTTGGAGAATGGTTCCTGGCCCACAAAGCTCCCTCAGCTGGTGGGTGAGACAGTGAATGGGAAGACCCCCTACTTTGGCCAGTGGTGTATCTGAAGAACCCGAAAAGCACTACAGGAAGCCTCTCGGAGAGAACGGTGTGTCCCGCACATGGCAAGCTGTTCCAGGATGGTGTGTGTGGAAAGGAGTGTGGAGGGGAGCAAGGAGGAACAGTGAGGATGGGGACCAACTGGAGGGAGCATTGAGAGGGATTGTCAGACATGACTCTAAGGACAGTCTCTCTGGCAGTATTGCAGAGGACAGAGAAGAGGAGACAGAAGTGGAGTCAGGAGAGCAGCAGGAAGGCCCTCACGATAGCCCACAAGGTGACCAAGAACAAACAAGCCATTGTCGTTTTCTGCCTATACACCTTCTAGACACTAAGCCTCCATGGACCCTGGAAGCCAAGAAAGATGTAAACAGGATGTTCTTACAGTGGAGCCCATGCAGATGAAGATGATCAATCATATTTTCAAGTCTCGAACCAGTGGTCCAGGAGGCACTGAAGCCACTCCCGACAGAGGCCACCTGGCCAGGTCCTTGCCTTGAACAAACCTGGCCAGCCAAGAAGCTGAAATATTCTCAGAGCAGATGAGGAAGAGCTGAGCTGGTGGCCTTGCTTAGGAGACATGGAGCAGAGATCCTGCCCAGCCACATAACACCCAGTTAGTCAGGGCTCTTACCTCCCCAAAGGAGTATCAGGCTCATCCCTGACTCCTCCGACAGTTTTTGGGAGGCTGTACAACCTTGGAGTCATGGGCAAAGGCAGAGGGTTGAGGAGGAAAATGGAGGTTTTACCAGCTACAGTTTCTTAAATAGGGTCACATGCTGTTGAGCTTAAAAAGTCCAAGAGTTCCCACACTTTCCTGAGCTTGGACTGTCCCCCTTAACAGTGTGAAAGAGACCCACCACTGTGACTGACTCACTTGATTCTCAGGCATCACAAGGGAGAAAATCTTCTCCTTCCAGGACACACCCCATACAGGTTGCCATATTCCTATAAAAACAGAAGCCCAACAATTAATGCCAGTTCATGATCTCATATTACAGCCCCCTATCTTCTCCCATCCTCAGAATCACATATGGCTCTTATTATGGCTGAGTTTCATAAATGAGTTATGATTTTGTGAGCTTTGTCTTTTAATGACACTTAACCCAGCAGAAGGAAATGGACAGAGAATCTCTGTGTTTCATGTTTTGCATGTGAAGAAAGACTGCTGAGCCAATTCTATTGTCTGCCACCAGCTGGGCACCCTAAGGCCTTACTCTATCTCTACACAAACACTTAAGTTTTAGGAAGAAACAACAAGGACCAGAATTTCTAAGCTTGAGACAGAATGGAAGCAAGTCAAGTTGGTATAAAACCTGTTAACAAGTTGCCAATGTGAATTCTGTCACAGTGACAAAATGCTAAATGAACTAGGAAGCTACATAAGAGGGCCATCTGATCATGGCTGTTTCCTAAACAAAATATTTTGGCTTTCAGGTTTACCACATTATTTGGTTACCTCATTGCCTCTATACCTGTTTGGAATATGGAGTCCAGAGTTATAAAATAATTCAATGATTTACTTTCACATTAAAAAGAATTCAGGGGTTGGGGGCATGGCTCAAGTTGGAACAGCACCTGCCTAGCAAGCACAAGGCCCTGACTTCAAACCCAAATACCAAAAAAAAAGATTAAAAAAATCCAAATGCCTAAGAGGCAGCTTTAAGAGGACAAAAAGTAACACAGATATGAAATTTGAGATCTATAATAGACAGTATCCATACTCCAGAGACAGCACACACACTTTGCTTAACAGAGCCTGCTTGTGCACACAACACGTGCACACTTGTGCTCTCTCTAGCACACAGTCAAGTTTAGAGTGCCCAAGATGGGACTCATTATCCAGAATGCTCAGACCATTAATGGGGAGAACTCACTATTTGCTGAGCACCAACTGTATGCTGAGTCAGCACCAGTAGGACTGGCCATGCTTTACTTCAATGGTTCCTTGTAGACAAGAATCAGAGGCTTGGAGAACAGATGGCACTTGTCAAGTCCCCATAGCATGGCAGGATTCAAGCCCAGGCCTGGCTGAGCCAGCATTCGGGGTTCTTCCTTCCAAACTGAGGTGTTCTGGACATGAATGCCTGGCACAGCTATGATAGTCCACACACCCTGTGAGGCCAGTGAGCTTCAAGAGCAGTCACCTGGACATCATCATCCCCATTACCAAGCCCACAGGCCTCAGGGCCTGTGCCAGCTGACAAACAGGCTGGCCTGCCTCTGCCACATTCTATCATCCTGAGCTGTAGGCTCTGTGCTGCTGCCTCCCACCAGAAGTCAGAGCAGATGGAGGCCTCAATGATCTTCTCTGATTCTCAAGAAATGTTTCTAAGAGCAGTGGGCAAGAGAGCCGAACATCTGGGTACCAAATTCTACTGTCAGTTTAACCAGAGTTTGAGAAACCAGGAATCACCTCTTGTTGCCTATGCATCCTATGACAGTACTAAGGCCAGCAGCAGAAAGACAAAGGGCCCTTTGAGCTTCTGCTTGGGGTTGTCTTCATAGTGGGATGGAGGTAGACATAACTGGGACAGGCCACAAGGGTTGCCCATTGGTCAGATTCCCAGAGAGGCCTGCACACTATGATCCAGGCACTCCAAGGACAATACCTTGTAACTTTTCGCTCCCTGTAACAAACATGCTTTTCACTCTCTGTAACACACTTAAATAGAAGATCTAGAGCCTAGTACCTCAAAGGGCTCATTCTTCATCTATATAACAAGGAGTTTAATATAGTTGGTGATTTCCTCACCAAGGACCCATGTCAGCTGCCCCTCTCCACAGATCCCGGCTGTTAGAAACATCTACAAAAGTAGTTAGTGGCAAAAAGGCCAGGGAGGAACAACCTCTCTAACAGGCATTGCTCAGGGTAGTTACCATGTACTTCTGACAGAGCTTGCAAGAAAAGTGTCCGAATACAAAGGCTTCCCAGTGAAGAGGTTAACAGCTCAGCCCCTACCACAGGCAAACCAAGGTTCCTATCCCAACTCCGTCACTTTAAAATACTTCATCCTGTGAGTCTCAGTTTCTTATCTTAAGAACAAAGATAGAGTTGGTACTTGCTCCATAGGACCATTCTGAAGATTAAGCGAGATAATGCTGAAAAGGACTTAGCCCAGTGAGAGTTCTCAGCCCTCTGCCTGGGTTCCTTCTGACTAGCTAAGTCATCTTGAGCAAAGAGCTTAACCTCTCTGTGCCTCAATTTCCTGGTGTGCAAGATGGGGTTGACTATGAAGACTGAATGAGTTATGCAGGAAAAGCACTTAGAATTCTAACAGCTGTACAAAGTAAGCCCTAGATAAAAGTAAATGTTCTCCTTTTCTTCTGGTAACAGATTCCACCCCATTTCCCATTCTGCAGCCAAAGAGGGGGTACAGGACTCAAGGGAGGCTCCTGTACCATATCCACTGGTACAAAGGGTGTGTGTGTGCTCCAACCTGAAAAGTTCCAGGAAGGCATGGTCTGGGTCATGTGGAGAATTGTGTGGGATCAGCTGGAATGCAGACCACTGGGAAGGTGACTGGTCCAGAAGGGCTGCAGATCACATGTTCTCTTCCAGGGGCTGAAGCCTTCAGGGCCTTCCTTGACTTTGAGCATTCCCTGAATCCTTCCAATGTATCCCACTTTTTCAAAAGCTCATTCAAGTTTGGCTCCTGGCCCTTGAAAAATCAAGAATCCTGACTAACAACAGCCCTAAACAGATGTCTGCTTTCTCACCACCAAATCCACCCAGGAAGAAAAACCAGCTGCTCACCCCGGTGAGACCCAAGCTGCTAGGGCAAAGCAAACAAGTGCAGCGAGGGGAGATGGCTGTAGCTCCTGGACCACTTCCTGTGCCCTTTCCTAGCACAGGAAGATGGTGGAAGCAAGAGTGAGCAGCCTGGGCCTGACTCCCGGCCAGGATCGTGTCTCAGACCTATACCCTTTGCTATGAGCACTAGGAAAGGAGAGGACAATAGAGAAGGAAACTGCAGCTGATTTTCACTAACCTCAAAATCATACAGAAAAAAAATCCACACAGCCACTTAATACAACTCTTTTTAGAGGAAGAAGGGAAAAGGAGGGAGGAAGAGGAGAAGGGAAATTGCCTTTTTGGAGCATTTATTCATTTGGATGATCTTACCCAAACTTCAGCACTGCCCTGGGAGCTGGGATCATCTAGCCCATTTCCCAGGAGCAGAAACTGAGGCTTGGAGAGATCAATAACTAAATCACTAAGGTAACACCACTAGCACCTCATGCCTCTTCTCTCCAGTATGCTGGTCTTGCTCTGATTCCCGAGTCTGGAGACTTCACACATGAGGCCTTTTCTACTGTCATTTCCCCTGTGCTCAGACTTGCCAAAGGACGATTGTCAAGTCCTGTTGCTCCCTCTTCCCTCACCAACCATCAGAGGAAGGGGCATCCTCCCAGAGGAAGGCAGACAAGACAAGCCACATCCTGGCAGCCCAGGTGTATCTCTGGGCAAGGTTCCTTCTCTGGACCTTAGTGTTTTTCATCTCAAAAAGCTCCGGTGTGATTTTAATGAGACAGGATTTTAATCAAGATGCATCTGTCCGAATCCCATATGGATTTGTTGTGGGTTTGCTTTTGTTTTTTCTCAGTTACTGTCCAAGAGATTCTGACCTAACAGGTAGAGACTACAGTGACACTCACACTATGCTAACAAAGTTAGCTTTGTCAGGTCTCATATTCTCACCATCTTGTGGGCCAGCACCCAAAGATCATCTGTTTCTGTACCCCATGCCTTCTAACAGACCCTCTCAATCACCCCCCAGGAAAAGAAGCTCCACTTTCAAATGTGTTTTTAAAGGGTTTTAGATAATCAGAAAAAACAAACTCTGTGGCCTGATAACAAAAACTAACTACCAAACCCCATCATCCTCCACCTCTCCTGAGTACCAGCCAAGAGATGAGCACATACAGCCACCTGCCTCCCAGGTCCAAGGAAGCCAGACACCAAGGCATAACCTAGATAACTAGTGGAGGATGGCCTCTCCTGAAACAAGCACCACTTATCACAGAAGGGGATGCACACAGCCTGATGCAACAGTAACTTCCAGCATTTGCTGCAGAATTAAACTGGAAGCCATGATCTAGAATGATATGAAAATCCTCCCAACTACAATAATGTCAAGAAGAGGAGCATTTGGCAGAGCCTGGGCTATACCTGTGGGTGTGGAAAAAGTTGTTAAGTTATTCCAAGGGGACCTCGCCTGCTGACCCCCACAGAACACTCATATCTCAAAGCCTGCCTGGCAAATAAGGCTTGTCTCTGTTTTGCTCTGTCCAGCAGCCGGCTTTGTGCAGTGGCCACCTCAGCCATAGGGATTCCCCAGGCAGGTATTTTCCTTACTTTCTTTTTATTATCTGCTATTTAAAAAATACAAAGGAACTGGCTGGTTTTCCCTTCAGGTATGATCTGGCTCACATCCACTGTCTATCTCTTGAGCTGTGCCACACAGCTCAGCTGTGAGTGTTGGAGGGGTCTGTAGCACATGGGTAGTGACCTGGGGCAACGGGACCAGTCAGAAATCTGAAAGGGAATGGAAAACTCACAGAGTCCTACCACTTCCTGCCCCCACCCCAACCCGGTTTCCCTTAAGCAATCCAGGAAGATTATTCAATAAGCACTTGCTATGTACCCTGGCTGGGGCTGTGCGAGATGCTAAAAAGCACAGGAAATGCGGATGAGGACTCAGGAAGCAAAAGCAGCAGAAGGAAGGATGCTACCTGGGCTCAGCCAGCAGCTGGACTTGAACCTGGGGCTTGCTGCCTGCCCATAATGAGACCTCGGGTCCATCATGTCAGCTCTGAGCTCAGGTGAGTCCCTTTGGGGGACTATGTCTATTTATAAAGTAGGATGAGAATTAACTAAAATAATGAAATAAAAGTTGCCAGATGCCTATCATTTCCTATGAGCCTGGAACCGGGAGCCAAGAACT